TTGAACTCTAAACCGTGATATCTTCAGTTGCACATTGACATCCTACATTCTAATTCTCTCAAATTCCGAAATACTAGTTTTATGACTTAACTAGTCTCCTTAATTTATTTGGTCTTGGATGTTTCAAGAGTGTCGAGAATAAGTCTTCATCGTAGGTGTACCGTTTGGAATTCATTCGAAACAAGAGCATTGGTTCGATTTTTTTTATATTGATGACGTATCATCTAGAACAATATGTACAAACGAACAATATTGTTTTCAATTAGATCCTCATCAGACTTTACCCAAATAAACAGTAACGTTTATACGCATAGATGAAAATATTAAATCAAGACAGTTTATGCGTCAGTGATAACGGTGAAAGAGATTGGAGAAATAAACATAGTAGGTAAAATGTACAAATGAAGAGTACGATGACATCTGTACTAGTTTTGATAAGAATAATAAAGGCCTGAAGCAATGTTACATAATGAGAAGTAGATCAAAGACTTGTAAAAAAGAGATTGGGATAGCATCTTATAAAAATTCTTAAATTTACATCATAAGAAGTGTTCATACAATTAGATAGTGAAGAATATATACAATAAATGGTGTAAAGAAAAAAAAACGAACAAAAGTATGGAAAATAAATAGCAAGACAAATCGTTTACTAACGCTGTTAAGTCCAAGGAAGAGATAAGGTCCGAACAAATTTCCAATAAATACCAATGCCCAGGAATGAAGGTGACTGATGATCAGTAACTCATTGGCTCGATTGTTGATATGTACTCGACCGTGGCTGCTACCTTAATGTGTTGATCGGGATTGCTTATCGTGATGACCCAACCGAGCTATATTGGCTGAAATATATGTTCCTGTAGGTTCCATCATGCGAGGTAGGTCGATTGGAGAACGGTAAAACTAAAAGCAGCAAGTCAAGGTCTGAGGGCGAAGTCATACGTCTGATTGTAGAGGTCTGTGACAGCAGTAAGGTGTTTCCCTTGGACAACCAACATCTGCAGCGATGCTGCCTTCTCGCAAGGAAGGGAGCGTTAGAAAAGGTACCCCTAAAAAAGTCACACCTTACCTCACAGAATTCCGTCTCCGATGGTAAGGCCTTTAAAAGAACGGAGCTAACACGTCTCAACCTCCCACAGAAAGGCCGTGCGTGATCGGCCTCAAGCAGCTGTCCATTGGACTCTGCGGTCACGCTCCCAGGTCGTTAAGACCAGCACTAATCCAAATTCTTTTCCAGGTTCTTCAAGAAGTACGCCTCCACGGTGTGAGCAGTCGGGAAGTGATATTAGCCCTCATATCCGTAACAGCAAACGAGACCAAGTTGGTCAAATTCAAATCCTTGTCATACCCCATAATAACTCTCTTATCTCTACGACTAACACTTCTCACGTCCCTTTATCACCTAGCACCGCTAATGCAAACAATTAGAGTACTCGAGACGTTATTCCTGGTCGCCTAAAACCACGCTCTAAACTGCATGTAGAAGCTTTTAACGCTCGAACACTGTGTCGAATAGGACAACAGACTTCTTTAGCTAGGACTTTGGAATCTCGCACCATCGATGTGTGCTGCGTCTCAGAAATGCGCAAACAAGATTCCAGTAGTGTCATTCATTTGACCTCACCAAAAGAACTAACTTGATTCACACTTCGTGTATCAGGAAGCATTGATTTTGATTTCCATGGCCTTGATGGCGTAGATAATGCGTTGAGTCCTAGGACAGAACTAGCCCTCTTAGATTGGATCTCAGTAGACAGTTGTTTGTGCAATGTCCGACTAAACGAAAAGGTAAGGACTCCGAAAGTCAGGGACACTCGCCGTTGCCTCTTCGTTGTCTCTGCCTACTATCCCACTGATTGCAGCTCAGATGAGGTAAAAGATGGGTTTTACATAAAGCTTTCCAACTTTCTCCGAAAAACTAGGTTCTCTGATGTAGTAATAGTGGCTGGTGACTTTAGTGCTCAAGTAGGCAAATTAAACGGAATGAAAAGACACCTGGGTGGACCTTATGGTGTCGTGGCTGAAAGAACAGACAATGGCGACCATCTGTTGCAGCTATGCTCAGATAACCGTCTGCTTCTAGGAAATACTAACTTTTAGCACAAAGAAAAACATTTTTTTTACATGGCGACTCCCGAATTCGTCCCAACGTTGGACCCAATTAGATGACATCGCTATCAGCCACTGATGGAGGGGCTCAATAGAAGACTGTTGCTCATGTTGGAGCATATGCTTAGATTCAGATAATGCTATGGTGCGAACGCGAACATTTCTATGTCTTACTGGACGTAGGAAAGACACTGCAAGGAAGCCTCTTAGAATTCTACTAAATGGTAGCTAAGCTAAAAATATATTTTACGAACAACTAGAAAAGCAGTTAAGCAGCCATGTAAGTAGTGCCCACCCCGAGGCAGCGTGGAATGACATCCGAAAAGCTATGGAAACAGCAGTGATGTCCGCTAGTACGGTAAACCATAAGGTTAAGGAGAAACAATGGATCTCAGCAGCATCTACCGCACTGATAGATGCTCGAAAACTCATGCCATATGGCTCTGAACATGACGAAGAGAGGAGTCAATTTAAGCGCAAACTGACAACAAGTCTATTTAATGATCGCGGACAGTGGTCAGCAGCGAAAGCAAGAGAGATGAAAGAGGCAGCGGCAATTAGCAACAACAGAGGAATCAGTTTGACTGATGTAGTGTCTAAAATATTAGATTCAATAACACTTCAACACCTAACTAAAGCTCGCGAAGAGCAGACTAGAGAAAACCAGGCTGGTTTTCGACCTGGACTTGGTTGTATAGACCAGATATTTACACTACGTCATGACCTAGAACACAGACACACATTCATACGTCCCACATTCGTAGTATTTCTCGACCTGAAAGTGGTATTTGACTCTGTTAATCGTGAGGTTCTGTGGCAGTTTTTATCACTGAAAGAAGTAGATTGACCTTATACAGGCTCTCTGCTTGAACACAACTGGCCGAGTGAGAGCTTATGGCGAACTGTCATCAGAATTGATTACCTCAAATGGAGTTCTTCAGGGCTGTCCACTCTTTCCATTCTCGTTTAACTTTGACGTTGACGTTCTCTTTGAGATAACACTTTCCTCATCTACATTTCCAGGAGTTGAACTTTCACTGGGAGATTCATTTGTTGAATTAGAATATGCCTATGACATAGTTCTATTTGGTGAAGACGCTGAAAAAATGCAGTCTTCTGACCACTATAAGCAACAATGCAAGCATATGTGGGAAGAAATTCTCCCCCTCGAAATACAAAATGTTACTTCAGGATCGGGTTGCATCGGCACTTTGACTAATGATAGGGAGTTAAGTAGTTGAGTGTGTTGACCGCTTCACTTATCTTGAGAGTTTCATCAGCTCTTGTGGTCTGGTGTGTGGTGAAATCTCAGCAACTTAACAACTTACGCCATTTATGGTGTAGGCGAGATATCCGTCTAGCAACCAAATGATGGGTTTACTGAGCAGCATTTCTTTCCGTAGTATTTAATGGGCGCGAAACATGGTCGATAAGGTTACTAGTATTCGATCAAAGTTGTCTTCAAAGCGTTGCTCGTATATCCTGTAACCACTGGGTAAGTAATGCAGTTGTTAGGAAACGGGTACTAGGTAAGGATGGCAAATCGATTGATGAAGTAGTGAAATTTCATCGGTTGGGATGGCTGGGACATGTGTTACATATATCCAACCATAGACTGCCCCGACACGCAATGTTTTATGGTGTAGGAGTAGGTTGGAAGAAAGATAGGGGTGGCCAGACCAAAACGTGGCACAAATCCATGAAGTCGCTGGCAAGTGGACTGAACCATGTTGGTAGGTGTAGACTACCTGGTTGAGATCTGCGAGATGATAGCAACCGATGGTTAGAGACCTTGAATGACATGGCTCAAAATCGTTTGCAATGGCGAAGGTGCATCCACTCTTTGTGTTCTACCAAATTCTAATCTTCTGAATTCTTCGTGTCTCTATCTTTTTTGTCTTTTGATGTTTATTTCACTGGATTATTTTCTTTGAATAACATCTTTAAACCCTAATCTTTCCGATTACTGCTTAAACTCTTACTACTTCTTTCACTATAGTATTTGAATCGACAACTGCATCTCTGTACTAGTGTGGTGTTGCAACTCGAACTGATGTACGTTTGTACGAAGTTCTACATTATGACTAACTGATTGACTGAGTGACTCCAAATTCAGCCCTATCCATAAGAGTATATGCTTTCGTAAATACATATTGATGTCACAGCACCAGGCAACATATCCGTTAATTGAGAAACCACCAACTGTTGAAGAGAAACTGACTGATAGGATGAAGCTGCAAATAAAACGTCATCTTCATTGTTTCAGTCACTCTATCCCCTACTACATCATTGGATATATCTCACTTAAATTGTTTCTATTAGGAAGAGTTTCATGATTTCAGGATTATTCATCGTTATATTTTCAATATTTTCCAAAAAAATTCACAAAATTCATTCATACTACGGTCAATAATTCCAGGTCACTAAAAATGCAAAACCCGGTTTCAAATATGAATGTCACCAAATGTATCATAACTCAGAATCATTGTATTTATCCACAATTTAGTTGGTTAACTAAATGATATAGGGGAGTACCATGGATAGACAGATGAATAGGTGTAATTGTCTCTCACTCTCTCTCACTCTCACTCTTTCTCTCTGTAACAGAACATCCCATATGTGCATAGTTACATATGAGATTGAAAACATGCATAATCAAAATGTGTCGGTTTATTTATGTGATTAGTTGACAAACAACAAATTAACGGATAAGTAAATCCATTTTGGAATCATTCACTTTGAACCAATGAAATATGGTTTATTACGGTAAACTTTATTATGATAATATACAAATAATAATAATGATGATAATAATAATCACAATTGAAATAGTATATAAAGTGTAGATGTTGCTAAGATAAGGCTTATTAACCATTCATAATATACATAGAATAATGCAACTATTCATTGTATTCGCGATTCTATTATGGTTTATACATATAACACATCAGGTAACCATCTCACGTAGACAATATCCTCAACAAATACAATTCGCATCAATACCTAACCAAGTAGAACAAGGGAATAAACAATTTATTGAAGGAGGTGTAGGAGGAGTAGCAGGAGAAGAACAACAACAAGAAGAACAAGAACAAGGAACCCATCGTTCTAAACGTTTATCAGATAATCAACAATTAAGTACAACATATCGTAATCCATTTGCTGCATTTTTAAAACGTAAACGTCATTCTAAATCAACTGATTCACGTTTATCTATAAAAAAGGATTTAACTAGTGCAGATTCAAAGTGTGGTTTAATGTGTCATTTACTTTGTCGTCCCGGTTGTTCCAAAATTTGTTATTCATCTTGTACTTAATTATAACCAAAAGGAATCCCCAAAAAAAAGTTTTTTTTTAGTCATTTCACATTGTTTGCTTATGTATTCAATAGTCAATTCAATGGCTACAATGAAATTTCTAGTCATTTGTTTAAATTATTTACATTTTAATTTAATACATGACAACCAACAATATCTTGTACTTATACTTATGAACATTATTCTTGTCATTTGTATCATGTTTATAATTAGTAACTATGATAGTTACTATAATATAAGTAATGCTTTTCTTCCTAATACCACCACTACCACCATCATCATCCTCAGCATCTTCATCCTCATTATTATTATTATTAATGTAATGTCAATAGACATGAAACAAGATACATATCAATTATACCTTAATGTTCTTTCATCTATGCCTGTAATTAATTATTATATTATTGAACAAAATATAAAAAAATTTTTACAATGGAAAAAAATAGTTGCCATGCTTGTTTATTGATTTATTGATTTTTTTTTTGTAAAAGGAAAATATTTTCCTTTACTCCAGTCTAGTTAAAGTAGTTTAATAGATTGTTAACATTTTCTTCAGATATGATCACTATAGTGACAGTGGGTACGTTGAAATGATGACTTAGAATAAAAGGTAAGTGAGAAGAATAAGTCAATAAATAGGTTTATATATTCAATAAGTGTTTATTTGAATTTTAAATCATAAAAAGTACAAGTCCTTAAAGGGTAATTTCATTCTATTATTTGAAGAACAAATAGTCATAGGATTTTATGAAATCAAAAATACTCTGTGAATCAACTGGTCGATGATCTTTCATACTGATCCAGGCATATCCGTCTGACGAGTCTCAAATAGGACGAAGTGTACGTTCTAGATTCCAATGCTAGCTAATATCCATTTTTGATTATAAAACTTATGACTTGAAGCTATATCAAGGCAATCCGCATAGGATGCATATATACCAACAAGTGACTGATCAGCTGTAGTCCTAAATAACAATGGGAAGATACAAATAAACAACATCAAGTGAATTTAATACAGTAACTTAGTTGAAATGTTTAAGCATTAAGGAAAGGTAATGTAAACTAACTGGAGGGAAGCAATAGGATATCTTACTTGTCGTATTCAGTATAATGATACTTATAGTGTACTTTGTCGGTTCTTAATAGTCTTTTTCGTTCCAATTTGTTTCTAATGAATCTCCAGGAATTGTTGTATGCTCAAATAACAGTACTGGGTTTTTTCTGGTGTAATACGTTGTTGCCAGTTCAATTCTAAATTGTTGTTTGGTTTTTCGTACAACTTTTTGATAACGATATGTCTATATGTTATACCGAGATGATTGTTTACAGATGAAATGAAGATATGTAACGAAGTCATTCCAATAACTGGTAGCTTATTACGATAAGCATTTGAAAGAGTATAGAATTGATATTATCATGCATGTAATAGTACATTTTATTATTGAAGGTAATCATTAGGTATTAATGTGAAGGATGAAGTCAACTTTGAGATGGTCGAGAAGATTTGTAGCTGGGGTGGGTGATTTTGATGTAGGTTTGTTCTCTGAGCTGGATGGTTTGGTCCATCCATCCAGCTCAGAGAACAAACCTACATCAAGATGAAGTAGACTATTAGAGTTTCCCTTAGATAACATATGTTGCATTCTATGAATTTTTTCCTTCAATAATTAATAACTGCATATTAAGTGTATGATGATTGCCTTCTAATGTAACGAGGTTAAAATATAATTTCCCAATTGTGGCATAAAACTCTTTGTACTACGGAAATTTTGCAAACTGACTAACTCGGAGAGAGACTATAATTTATTGAAGAGACCAATCGGATTTACAATAACAGTCTTTGGATTTTGGCGCAAAATTAATTCATCCATTAGGCTATATAGAGCTTTTGGAATTATAGCTTATGTCAGTTCATGATGAAAACCATATATCTAATTTCTAAACTGAACTATCAACTGTGAATATTAATCCTAGTTACTCATACTAGTTTATAGCCATCATTTAGCTGTAGTATATAGGTGGACAACTACGCCTGTAGCTCTTCTAGATTTACTGCCGGTCCCAAACCCGGGTAAAAGAGGAGGGTTGGACATGGGGTTAGTGATCCCATCCCATAGAAAAGCTAACTCGATAAAAAGACGCTAACCAGAAACAATAATTTAAACCATGTAGGTCGATATTCTCAAAGTCTTTTAAGTGTCGCTCAAATGTCGTCCATCAATTAAGGTCTCATCTATTTTTCGTATAGCTAATATGGTAATATAATCATTATACAGTGTAACCGGTTACTGAAATTCAAAATAGATTGTTACTAGGACTAATTGTAAATTAGAATGAAATCAATGATTAGTGGATTTATGAATTCATTTAATGTACTTTCATGATTAAATACAACTTTATATTCAATCAGTTAGGTCATGTCCATATATAGTTTATAGAAGTATATTCAAATGTCCTTTTTCATTAAATACAACAATACAAGTATTGAGTTAATGATATTAATTAGACAAAATGTATTTTGAATTGATTAATGATAAATAATAATGAGGACAAAAGTAAATTCTACATTTACATACTTACTTATGCCTGTTAACGCTTGTGGAGGAGCATAGGCCGCACACCACCATTCTCCATCCAACCCTGTCCTACCCAGTCCTTTCCAGTTCTTTCCACTCAACATTCATCCTTTTCATATCTGCTACTATTTCCCGACGTAATGTATTGTCTGTAGGACTCCTCAGCAGGAGTCACATAACAGGACGAAACAGCCATCTAGTGCTTCCAGGTTTTTCTTGGTAGTCTAGCTTCAATTGACTCATGATTTCAACTATGAAAATACTTTTAGATTTAGTTTAAAACTAAACTAAACACAATAAAGTATCCTAATGATCGTTAAATGGTCGTTGATGATTGTAGAATACATTCATAATCTTTTTCGGAAGATTAAGAAAACAAAGCTCTCCAACTAGTTCAAAACTAAAGTTTCATAAATAGTGGTAGTACCATTCATCGAAATGAAATCTACATTTATCTTTCGTTATTTCATACCTATATTTGCTATTTTTAAAAGCTTTCTTCCTGACAAACAAGTATTCCACTTGAAGAATCTGTTAAATTACGGTTAGAAAACTGACAATAAATTTCAAAGCCACGGATAACTGTAACTGAACACATGAACATTTTACAAACAAACTTTTATTTACCTAACAGAAAACCGGAACATCGTTGAACGAAAACCAAGATCATATTAAATTCATTTAGTATTGTTTGTTTGAAGCTTCCCATTGATTTTTAGGACTGCAACTGGTCAGTCTCTAATTGGCATATGCGCATACTGTGCGTATTGCCTCGATATAGCCTTAATCCACAAGCATTTTAAGCAAAGATGGATAGTGGCTAGCAGTGGAATCCAGGATGCGCGTTTCGTCCTATTTGGGACCCATCAGCTGAATGTACCTGCATCTCAGAGTTGATGTTCACTCTGGGACTCGACCAGAGGACTGACCAGTTGCAGTCCTAAGCATCAATGGGAAGATTCGAATAAACAATACTAAGTGAATTTAAACTTCACCCCATTGCGCGAGCAAGTGGCTATCAGGACTCAGTAGCTGAATGAATAATGTGATGACGTTTAAAGCGAAAGGTACTGGGTTCGAGTCCGAGAGTGAACATCAACTCTGAGATGAAGTTACATCCATCTGACGACTCCCAAATAAGACGAAACGGTCGTCCTACATTCCACTGCTAGCCACTATTCATCTTTGCTTACAAGATCATATTGTTATCATTTCAGAAGTTGTCGATTTATAGATAGTTTCAAAAGAAATTCTACTGATTTAAATTGGGCATACAAAATAATGAAGTTAATATTATCCAACATAAAAATTAATGTCTCGCCTAACAACACACAAAAACGGACTACTTAAGACAATACCTAGTAGATCATATTAGAATCAGTAAATAAAATAATACAAAATACATGAGTTATCTATCAGATTATAGCGAATTACGATGGAACAAGTACATCCATGCTCTAAGTTCTTTATAGGATGAAACCCGAAGTTTGTGTTGATGATGTCATTCAGGAGAATGATAAAAGCTCCACGACCAAACCATCGAGCTCAGAGAACAAAACTTCATCAAAATCATCCAACTGAGCTACAAATCTTCTCTTCTATATTGAACAATGTCCTCACAGTTTCCAATTTATTTCAAACAAAGAGAGAATCAATCACTCGACCATTCCGATATGTTGGATATCTAGATAATTCAGACCGCATAGACGTAGATACAAATCAACATATTCTTGGTTGTGTTGTAGTGAACAGAACACTGGTTGGGGACAATCGAATGTATTTAAGCAAAAATTACAGACTATCTCAGTAAATTTTGAAAACCATACAATGGACAGTTAATTTGCAAATTAACAACCAATAGTCTCGATCTTCACTGTTTCTTCTCTAATTCCATTGTTCGTGCATTTTCTTACCGATTGCGCTTCGTTTCAGTTCTTTCCTCATCGGTCTTCTACCAAAATACATTCTCTATCTGACCAACACCATATACTACTTATATGGATATAAGTAGACCACACCACAGTGTGACTGACATCGGGAGTTAATAACTCACTCGCATACTATGACATCTTACTTAACATTCAGTCTGGCTAAGCTAACGATTGTCAGACACTATAATCAAGTCTCTCTATATATATATAAAACAAAAGGGAAAATTTTACAAATGATTACAGTTTTGTATAATCATCAGTGGACATCATATGAGTGTGATGACAAATATTTCAGCCAATTACGTCATACTCAGAACTATTTTCTATCCCATATATGAATCGTGTTTTAAACAAGTGGAGATAGAAAATAACAACTTTAAACAAATGACATTAAAGAGCGAATCTTCCTTTACCTTAATTCCTGTTCTTATGATTAGTTCTAGTCCCTTCAGGACGCTCCATTATAGGCTTTGTCCATACTTGATAAAGGATG